ATCTTTAGTGGCATTTTTCAACTAGACTATGTGATAACTTACTTTTATCTCTTTACTCTCAATTACCTTATCATTTGACAGACAGAGACTAAGTAATATGCAAGAATTCGCTCGGCTAGAACATTTTAAGTTTCTTTTATTCTAATGCTTTTAAATCTCTATAGAAAAGGAATGCAGAATAGACAGTAGCTGTAGTCCTGCCTCCGTAATATCAGCTACTTAAACTGAACTGAACACATGGCTAATGGGCAGCTGCTGTGTGGTGCAGGGAGCTCGGCTCAGGGCTCTGTGATGACCTAGAGGGTGGGTTGGTGGGTGGGAGGGAGGCTCCAGAGGGAGCGGATATATGTGTCCTGACAGCTGATTCACTTTGTCCTACAGCAGAAACTAACATTGTAAAGCAATTATACTCCAATTAAAAAATAAACAAACTGCTCTGAAGACTTCACCCCTGTATATGTATTTAAATTTATTTTCACACCTGAAAACTATACAGAAGATCTATTGATACTCTGACTGGGCCACAATTACTACTGGATAAGAAAATACATGTAAAAGAGCAAGGTTCTTTCTTGACTTATGAAAGGTGCTAAATATTTTCTTAGATAAAGTCTGTGAGAGCTTTTAATGTAGTAAAATAAAGCCTTCCCAACTCACAAATAAAAGACTACCCATAATAAGTTTAAATGGTCCTAGATAAAATAAAATAAAATAAAAAATAAATAATTAAATGGTCCTAGATAGTTAAAATCATCAAAATTTTTATCTGATCTTTATAGCTTCATACATTTCCTCTAGAGCAGAGAGCCCCAACCATTTTGGCAGCAGGAACTGGTTTCATGTGAGACAATTTTTCCATGAGCTGGTAGGAGGGATGGTTTTGGGATGATTCAGGGCAATACACTTATTGTGCACACTATTGCTATTATTATTATATCAGCTCCAGCTAAGATCATCAGGCGTTAGAATCCAGATATTAGGGACCCCTGCCCTAAAGTAGTCAGCTAATACTTATAGCATGACCTTTGTTCTTTCTTTAATACTGGGGTAGTGTTGGCTTTATAATGTTGTGTTAGCTTCTGCTGGATTCAAGATGGCAAAACGCCACCTTTACTGTTTTCTTCACTGTTGTTAACTTCTTTTCCTCTATGATCTTGGAAGAGGTAATCACATTTGTAGACTTGTATATATACTAAGGACAAATATACTCCAATTCTACTGGGAATAAAATGTTGGCCTGTGTGTTGATTTTATAAAAATTCTTTGTCACTACCAGCAACCAAAGTCCAAAAACTGGGAATCACATTATACTCCTTCTCTCCTTCACTTACTTGCCATGATGACCTGTCTTCTCCTGCCTCCCGCTTTAATCAAGCCACCGTTATCACCTCTGCTTTAACCCAACTGATGGTCTCCTACTTGCATTGCATGTTCGAAAGAATTATGAGAATCAAGGGATCACTGCATCAGGCCTCCCAGATTACTTAGAAGTCAGCCCAGTTCAATACAAATAACCAGGCCAACAAGATGGTAGGATGTTTCTTTTGGAAACCATCTTTGTGTTTTGTTTTCCTGTTACAGACATATGTTGCTAAGATATCTTTGGCTTGGCAACACCCTCTCTATTTCTGCTAGAAAATCCTGGCTTCGTCTCCCTGACCACTGCTATTAAAACCTCTCAGCCATCCTCAGAGTCTCCATTAGCATCAAGGAAACTACTCCACCTTTACACAGTTTTTCAAACTCCATAGGGGCCCATAATTTCTTGTAAAAGAAAAGGTTCATGTGGTAGATTAAGTGCCAAGTTCAAGTTTGGGCTCTTTAATCTTTAGGCAAAGCTTGCCTCTTTGCTGGTCAGACCACACACAGGGAAGTTTTGTTAATGTTAAGAAGTCTATGAATAGGAATGTGTCCCAGGAAAACCAATGAAAGTCAGAACATCAGAAACAACATCACATAAGCAATGTTTAGGTGAACTGCATCAAACTTGGAGGGGGTTTCACCTGGGGAAGTTAAAGCATATAAAATGAGGGTAATATCTTATCCTTATTTTTACACATTTTAGGTAAAATATGTAAAATTCATAAGATCAAAACAGAGAAAAACAAATCCACCTAGTTATATACTATGGAATGTATATGTCTTTAAATGGAATGTTAATGAAGAATTTAAGTGGATATTAGATAAACCATGGGCTTCCCTGGTGGCTCAGTGGTAAAGAATTCACCTACCAATACAGGACACATGAATTCAATCCCTGGGTCAAGAAAATCTCCTGGAGAAGGAAACAGCAACCCACTCTAGTATCCTTGCCTAGAAAATCCTATGGACAGAGGAGCCTGGCAGGCTAAGCCCTGGGGTCGCAGAGTTGGACACGACTTAGGGACTCAATAAAAACTAGGTAGACCATATGTTAGGTAAGTTCTGAAAAGGGTTCATGAGCTGAGGATTTGAAGCCTATTTATCGTGTGGTGTTATGATTCCATGGCAGCCTCAAGTCTTTCGGTAATGATGTGTAATGACCTGGGGATTTTCCTTTCAGTAGAATAAGGGTATGATTTCCAAATCCCTCTCAGCCAAAATGGTTTGAGTGATCCAAAGTAACCTACAAAGTGCTTTGAGCTCCATGATGAAAGATGCTATATAAATTAAAAGGGTAAGTTAGTCATAATAAATAATGGTAATGATGATGAATGGTGGTGTCATAAAGAAGAAGCTGGCCTGCCATTAGGGAACCCAAAGCAACCAGCTGGAAATAAAGCATGTCCAGACCAGAAGGCTATTCACTGATGAGACCACATTAACCTTTCAAACTAAGACCTGGATCAAGCCTCTGATTCAGAGGTGTGAGCATCTGAAATGGAATAAACTATAGTATTTGTTCCAAAGCTTGAATATCACCTTAGACTTCTAAGAGCTTTACCCAGATGGGTCAACAGGGAGCTTCCTGTTTCAGCAGAAGAGAAAACTAAGTAGGTCGGGGGAGAGCCAGAATTCCCAAGTAGAATTATGACTCTGAACTCGGTGCTCTTTTCACTCTCAGCCAGACTCCAGATAATTCAAGGGAACACGTAACTTCAGAAAAGAGCCAACTTGGATGAGAAAATGTTTGAAACGAGGTCATATCCCTCAAGACAGTTTGCAGAGTTGTTTTCCATCCATTTAGGCTCAGTAAGCATGCTAATAAAATCCTTAGCCCCTCAAGCAGGGAGGAATCATTCAATGAGACCCTAGAGCTGATTCCTAGAGCTCAATGAACACATGGTGGGAGCCAGCTGAGCGCTGCTGGACCAGGAACGGACACTGTGCTTTAGGGCTTTGTCCCACTTGAGATCTAAGAAGCCTGATTGCTGCCAAAGGTCTGATTAATGGTACCTGCTAAAGCACTTATCCTCTCATACCTTGTATGTGCCAACCAGTCACCGTATGCAAAAGTGCCAGACTGGGCCAACCAGTCACCATATACAGGAAGTAAAGACCCTGTTCTCTGCCCACCAAAAAATTCCATCAAAAAAAACAAAAAAAAATGGGGAGCTTCAAAACTAGGAAACTTGTTAAATATGTGGATGCTTTCTTTACTTACTTATCTAATTTCCTGTTTTATTTTATTTTATTTTTATAGGCTTTAGCTTTCATTCACTTGCATTTTGGCATAATTTAACATATTTTATCATTTAGAATTTATTCTGATCCTCTTTTACTATTTTATCATCTTTATATTTTTAACCTTTTTAGCTTCTCAATATTTTTTTGTGTGTGTTTATCCTTTGAAGCTAGTCTATTCTCACCATTTCAACATTTATTAATATTTAGGATTTCTTTCCTGAAGGAAATTATTTTATATTTCTTAAAACATTTTCTTATTTAAGTCATTTTATCTCTGAAATTTGCTTTTTCATATTTTATAACTCATTTTATCTCTCTTTGTTTTTATATTTTCAATATTGCTCTATTTTCTCAGTTTCTAAAAGTGTGCTTTTGCCTCTTTAATACGGATATTCTAAATTGCAACTTCTTTTGCACCTTTAGCTCTTGAAATTATGTTTCCTTTCAATTTTTCTATTTATCTTGAATTCTGGTTTTTCCATAGGATATCACTGTCTAATCCTATAGTTAAAATAATCATTTATTACCAAAGGAAGGAATGTTAATTTTTTTCCCACAGCTTGAGGCATGTATGCATGAATGTTCACCCTGTCACCCCCATCCACTGGCTCTGAGACGTCGAGAACCTGCTCTGCTTTCTGAGTCTCAGCCCGAAAATTCTGAAAATGCTGACTCTTTCTAACCCTGGAATTCATCTTTCCCAATATACATTCTGAAAGGCATATAGGAGTGGGCCAGGAAAAGCACCACCCCAATCTTCTTTCTTCCAGCCAACCATTTTACAATCATTCCACTTTTAACCATTTCACAGCCATTCTTCAACCATTTCAGCCATTCCATTTAAATAAAGTGACATCCTTACTAGAGCTGTATCCAGAATCCAGTAAAAACACAACTGAGAATAAAGACTCATCTGCAGTGCATGCTCAGTCACTTCAGTCGTGTCCAACTCTCTGCGACACTGTGGACCATGACCCGCCAGGCTCAGAAGCAAAGAAAAGCACCAGTCTTAACTTCATCAAATCACAGTTTGAGCCCTGGCTTTGTCATTAACCCAGCCCAGTTGGCAGGGGGGTGGGGGGCAGGGAGTCATCTGATTAACATGGACATCAATTCCTTCCTTTTTAAGAGGAGAGTGTTAAATTCGATTCTTTCTAAGGATTCTTCTGTTACTAACTGCCTATAAGTCTATACTTTTCTATTAAAAGAAACTATGAGATTGAGACCAATGTTTATAGAAAATATCCTGATGTTTGTACAAGGTAACAGAACTCAAGAGAAGTTATTCCTGCCAGAGAACCAACACCTCTCAAGTCAAACCCATTGAGCAAAACAACAATCCGTTATCATGGTAACATAAATGCAACCTAAGTTAGGCCAGGCGCCTGACATACTTGCCATTGATGACACCATCTGGGTTGAGCATGGGGATTATCTTGAAAATGAAGTTTTCCCTCAAGAGCCTAGCCACAGGGTCACTGCTGACGAGGAACTCCAGGGTCCCCTTCATCACCCAGCTAGCATTGCTCTCTCCCGGGTGAACTCGAGCCGTAATCACTTGGTATGGGCGCTGCCCTGCAGGGAAAAAGAAAACACATGCAAGAAAATTAAACCTAAATACAGTTTCCATATCCATCAAGACAGTCTCCAGGAAGCCAGTTTTACACCTTACTGGAGGAAAGACTTAAATAGGTTGATTGTTTCTAATACACACTTAATGTGCATTTATCCGTTTTCCATCTGCCTCTACTGTCTGTAAGACTCAGGAGAGTATAAAGTTAAAGCTCAAGGCTGTTATCTAAACTGTAAGCACTCCATGGCACCAAAACAAGCCATGAATCAGATTTTAGAAGACCACCAAAGAAACAGTTTTCTCTTCAGGACCCAATAGTGTGGTGCTGGATGTTCCAGATCTAGATTGAATCTTATCTTCATCATTTACCAGTCGTAAGATCTCAGCTGCAGGATTTAATTTCTCCAAGGCTGCTTTCTCACATGTAAAATGAGGACAATGGTACTGACCTCCTGTAGCTGTTATAAAAACTAAATGATATAATTATAAAGCACTTGGCATATTGCTTGCCATTAGGTATGTACCTGTTAGCGCTCTCCCTTCTCAGTTATAAAACTCTGTGGTTAGGATGTTCGCTCTCATTTCCAGCAGTAAGAGGAGTCAAGTATAGAAACTGAACTGGGAAACTTATGATTGACTTTATGACACTGAAGCCAATCCTGGAGAGATTTCACAGAAGGAAGTGCCTAGAAGTTCAGTCTTGGAGTTGCAATACCTCCTTCACTTTGCAAAAGAAATCAGGAACACATTCTCTACCAATCACAAGGAGTGTATTGACACAATATACCTCTATACAGAATGCATTGAGAAAAGATAGACTTAGCATCCTTTATTTGTTGACAGAAGATGCACATAGGTTTGAGAGTTATTCTCAGACCACATCTGGGCTCAGGTGGAAAATGTCTTTGATTGATTTGTGATGTCTGTCCTCACATACTTGAGAAAGTGGGAGGTGGAGAACCTGTGGTATCAGACAAGCAATTCACCATGTCTGCTCTAACCTCCTGTTTGATTTTGTGAGAGTTTTTTGATTCTTACTTCCTTCTGTATCCTCACCCAATTCCTTATTGCTCCTAAACTCATTTTAAAGACGAAAACTAAATTTTTGCCAGGTATAAATACGTTAGCCACTAAAGAGTCTGAAAGTTAAAAAAAGTCATTTTCTTCCTGATTTTTCAAATCATGAGTTCAATATTTACCTATGAGTTTATGGCTTTTCTTCCCTTAAAGAGTAATATTTTTGAAGGTATAAACTGTATCTCTAACTCTGTACAAAGAAAGACAAAACTGAATAACCTCAAGAACTTCTAAATAACAAGGAATAAAAGATATGGATAAATAAACTAGTAATTACCCAATCATACTACTATTATCATCAATTAAAACAAACAAAATCCCCTCTGTCAACAGCCAACGAGGTGCAGGTTTAAGGGGCATATATATTCATGCACTTTTATTGACTATGGTGAGAGCACCTTACTTCTCTTTATAGATCCTTTATATTTTGGGGATAACATTCAGCTTTTTTTTTTTTCCTTAAATTTAAGCAGGTATCTTGAACATATTCCAGGAACTACAGAAGGCATTGAGTAGAAAAAACTAAATCTATTATAGTTCTTGTTCTGTAAGAGACCAAAGCACTTGTCCGTGGTGACAAACATTCAAGCAAATAATGACAAGCGAGCTAATGGAGGTGTAAATAAAGCACCAAAAATAGATCTGTCCGAGAGAGGGAAAGACATTTCCAGAGATGTGATGCTATTTATTTAGACTGGGTCCTGCAGAATAATTATCATCTAACGAGAGAAATGGCATGGCAACCCACTCCAGTACTCTTGCCTGGAGAATCCCATGAGCAGAGGAGGCTGGCAGGCTATAGTCCATGGGGTCACAGAGCTGGACACAACTGAGCAACTTAGCACAGCTTGGGAGAGAAGGTGAGAAAGGGTCTTCTAAGCAGAGAAAAAGACACATGCAAAGAACACAGAGGAAGCACAGCCAGTTTCCTCTTGAGTTTTTATTGTTTTTACCAGTCTGTAAAAACAATCCACTTTTACAAATCGTTGCTTTCAAGAATCAAGAAAAGCCATGAGTGGCTGAAGCAAAGGACTGGAAACAGTAGCTCATGAATTTAGAAATTAGGCTGGTGTCAAACTAGTAATATCCCTCCTCATACATTTTGTTTTGGGTTTGGGGTTTATACTGTTGATCAGAAGTTCTCAGTCATGAAGTCAGTGTCTCACTGGTATGTTATGACCTGTGATGAGATCTATTGAAGAATCACTGGTTATTAATAAAAGTGCAAATGTTTGCTTGTTTATATATAGATACAGATAATATATAGAGATAGATACAGATACAGATATATATTCACGCTATATACGTGTATGTGTGTTTGTGTGTACACATGTGCTCACTTGTGACTGACTCTTTGCAACCCCATGGACTATGGCCCACCCTGTTCCTCTGTACATGAAAATTTCCAGGCAAGTACACTGTAAGTTTCCATTTCCTACTCCAGGTAATCTTCCCAACCTAAGGATCAAAACTGTATCTATTGAGTTTCCTGCATTAGCAGGCAGATTCTTTACCACTGTGCCACCTGGGAAGCCCTATATGTATACATACATAGACATATATACATATATTCACAATGTATATATCACACAAAATGTCGGTTACCTGTCCAAAAAGCTTTAGTCCCCTTCTTTCTTACTACCAGACCCCTAATTTCAGGGGAGGTTAAAAAAGTGCCCAGATCAAAACACCCAGCTTCATGAACCCTCTTAGAGGTAGGATTGGCCATGTGTCAGGGGTGAGACCAATGAGATGTAAATAGCAGCCAGAGGGTAAGTCTTTCTGGAAAAAGGATTAGAGAGCACAGTTTCACCTGGCAAATGCCTTCTTAGATTTCTGTCTCTTGTATTTGTCTCTTCTTCCTTCATAGAACATAGATCTGACACTTTGAGGTGAGGAAGCCAATTCGAGAATCCAAATCACATGAGAAGATGGTGACCATAAAGGTAGAAAGAGCCTGGGTTCTTGAAAAACCCCTTAAGCAGCTTTCTTGCACCTTCACTAGTTTCTTCAATGCTTCTAGATGTTTGAGACCAATAAACCACTATTTGACTGGGCAAATGTAATCACATATTTGTTATATTTTGTTAGACTCTAGTTCAATTTATATGAATAAAAGAACAGTTTTTAAATCATCTTTATAATATTGTTACCTTGAATAGCATGCATCTAAGTGTGCTTTCTGGACTGGGGAGAAAAGAGAGACACACAGAGTTATTTTGAGAATATTTGCTAGATGTGTCCCAGAAATAAACAGTCGAGAATGTCTACTTTAAGTAATAGAGAGTAAATGATGGCTTTTCAACAGGAGCAAGACATATCAAAGATTGTGCTTCAAAAAAATCCTGACATTTCTATAGACAGTACATTTGTTTAATCACAGACAGTACAGCCTACCAGAGTAAAGCACAACTTTTTAACTTTTTTAACTTTTAATTTTATATTGGGCTATAGCTGATTAACAATGTTGTGATAGTTTCAAGTGCACAAGAGTGACTCAGCCATATATATACATGTACCCCAAACTCCTCTCCTATCCAGGCTGCCACATACCATTGAGCAGAGTTTCCACTGATCCGTTGTTGGTTATCTATTTTATGTAGAGTAGTGTCTACATATCGATCCCAAACTCCGTAACTATCCCTCCCCGCCATCCTTCCCTGCTGGCAACCAGAAGTTCGGAGAACAACTTCAAGAGCTGTGTTTCCAGAGTTCAAATTCCAGCCCCTCCATGTTCTGTCTGAGATGAATTATGTAAGTTTCTGAAGAAACTGAGTTTTGGACTGGATGTTCTGCATATTAGACTAACGATTTGCTAACTAGAACTTACTAAGTAAGTGTATAGGCTGGGAGTGGGTGGTGGTATACAATCAGCTAGTTAGCACAGTTGAAGTTAGTTGAAGGTCAACTTTCCCACTATATCATTTGATCACAATTACTTTTCACTCCTTCCAAAGCAAGCTGTATTGACATGCCAATAAAAAGATTACTGAGAAATAAAGGGGCTTGATGAATCTGTACCCAATCAGTGGCCCATTTTCAGTTCTATAATTCCATATCACTCTCTGTGGTTTTTGAACTATGCTCATTTACAGTATATTAAACAATAGTAAGTGTTCCCAGTCCATCAAGAAGAAGTAAAAAAAAAAGCTTAAGCTCTTATAAATTTTCAACATCAATTGGATCCTCTCATTGTCTGGGCCAGTTGAGTCCCCATTGCCTGATAACTAGTGCAATTAGTGCATTATAGTCAATAAGTCAAATGCAGCTCTTGCAAGGAAATATCAAAGTTTCTCTTCTTTGGAGAGTCAGGTTTATAATTCACTAGATTGTCATATGCCACAAAACCTAAGAGGCTGTCCTAAAGAAGCAAACAGGGAAACTGTGGGTTCTCACGAAGACATTAGCATAAGCAGCAGTTTAGCCATTTCTAGTAGATTTTCCTCTCTTCCTCTCTGTGATTTAAGGCAATTTTGCATTCATATTGGTGAGTTCAACCTATGGGACCATTCAGTTGTAGCAGCAAATGGTGCTCCAGAGAACCCGTAATAGACAATAGCTGTAAACAGCATGCAACACACATACTATGTGTTTTTTCTTGTAATTGAAAATTTAAGATTTAATAACTCGTCTCTGCTTAGGGGAGGGCAAAGAGTGTAGGTTATACATCTTTTATTTTTTCTCTGCAATTTGTAAAATCTATTCTGGAGTCCATGAAGATCTATGGCAGAGTCATGGTTTGGCATACTGTAATTCTTAAAGTCACATATTAAATTTATGTCAGTGGCTATGACATCTGTTAGAAACAAGTAGAGAACTGTACAATCCTAAGAGAGATCAGGCTCATGGCCAATGAAAAACTGAGAAAGAACTAAAGACATGTGTGATGTGCACCCAACTATATAAATATCCATTCATTTATTCC